ATTAATGTATCCAAAAGATTAAATGTGTCTTTACACATATAAATTAAGTTAAACCAAGGTCAACTAACAAATATTACAAATAATTCGTTCAAATATTCCTTCATTGGTTGCTAGACAATGACCCACGCGTTGATAAAATTCTCTTCTTACATTGGCTATTTGGTAAATTGAAATTCTATTGCATTCTGCAGAAATAGCATTTTTTAACTCTTTTTAAATGGCGGGGAGAAGGGCATCGAGGTGAAAGACATAAGGACCAGCGAGAAAGGATTTAGATCGGTGGTGGTCCTAGTCAAAAGGACACTGGAAGAAAGGATGGACAAAATAGAGAGGGTATGGATAGGGCTAGGCCCTAGCCGCTAGGGCGATGCAGGGTCAGAAAAAAGGTGGAGGTGCAAAAGTGCCCAAGTGCTGGGACACGCACGGAAGAGAAACGGCGCCGGCGTGTACAAAGCAAAGTAAGTTGAATAAATGCCTAAATTGTGGCCAAGAGGGCCACTATAAGGCAAAATGCACCAATCCCAAATGGTGCGCGGTGTGCGAAGCTGACGGCCATGGACGATGGGCCTGTCCCTACTTCAAGGAGGCCGTCCGGAAGGAGGAGGTATCTGCAAAACAGTCGCCGGCATGGTTAGCCCAAGTAAACCTCAACCGTTGCTACGCGCCGCTGACGATGCCCTAGAGACATTCGCACGGGAAAGTATTATAATAGGGCAAGAACCCAACAAAAGATGAATCTGTGATAGCTACAGTGATCTAAACTGTGGTACCTATATTAGTGTTAAGGATTTTAATGTTTCAAAATGTGAGCGTGAAACTGGTTTTGTGTGTGTGGATGTGCCGTTCGGTGTCATTTATTCGTGTTATATATCGCCAAATAAAACCCACGAAGAATTTATGGAGTTCCTGGAGGAGTGGGTGGAGGCAAACGGCTTAAGCGTTATAAATAGTGGCACGGCAACGGCTTTTGAGAATGCGAACGGAAGCTCGGTAAGCGATGTGACGATGGCCATCGAAGAAACTGTGCCTGGACGGTAAGCGATGAGGAGAACCTAAGCGATCACCGCACCATCGAGTTTTGTGTCTCGACACTGGCTCCCCCAAAAGCAGAAAACAATAACACGACCCGCCGGAAATATCGGAAAGCACGTGGGCGAAGTTTGTCAAAGCTTGCGATAAGGAAAACCCCCTACGGATTACACAGGGAGGAACCCCTGAAACACTAATAAAAGGAATCTCCAGACTATGTCATAAACATTTCTCTAGGAAAGGCTCAAAGCGACCGGGGCGACAAGCAGTCTACCGGTGGAACAGAGAAATCTGCGACGCAAGGAAGACCTGCGTAGCTGCCAGAAGGGCAATGGTGAGAAACAACCGCAAAAACCACGGAATACCGGTAGATCGGATTAATTATAGGGAGCTCTATAAGAAAGCCCTCAAAAAAGCCATTTATAAAGCTAAGACCGGCGCGTGGAAGACTCTCATAGGACCTATGGCCTATGAAATAGCCACCGGGAGGTTGAGGATGCGTCAAACTACGAGGGTAGAAGATGACCAGCTCGAGGGATTCATCGCGGACCTTTTCCCAACACACGAAATTCAAAATTTGCAAAGAACACCAACTAAATTAGGAGACGCAAGACCAATAACTCCAGAGGAGGTCATAGCTACAGCAAGAAGGGTAAAAGACAAAAAAGCACCAGGGCGGACGGCATCCCGCCCAAGGCCACCAAACACATTTTCACGGAGCGCGCAGAAGGAGTGGCGCAGATCTTGGACCAATGCCTCCAGACGGAAAGATACCCAGAAATCTAGAAAAGAGCCATGCTGGTGCTAACCCAAAAGCCTGAACTGGTGTCAAAAGAATAAACTTTTTTTGAACATTAATAAATGTAAAGTGATGTCTACAAAACTTGTAGAGCGTCCTTTCGTTTATACAATTGATGAAATACCTTTAATCAGCGTCAACACCACTTGTGATCTTGGAATCTTTTTTGACAAGAGATTAACTTTTTCGGTGCACATAAATGAACTTGTAAAACGTCCATTAAAATACTCGAGTTTTATTATTCGTACATGTACTCAATTTAACAGCTACAAAGCTACAAAAAATATCTTTATTTCGTCTTAGTTAGGTCTCAACATACTCCAGTATGGAGCTCTGACTTGGGACCCCTCCTACAAAAAGTACGTTAATGAACTCGAATACACTCAACGCCGCTTTTTAAAATACATCCACTTCCGTTCTGAAGGAGTTTATCCTGATAAGAGGATTCCCCCAAGACGCTTGTTAGCGCAACTAGAATAATAATTGGTAATGGGCTGTAAAATGTTTGTTGCCCAACATGTAAAATTTATAATAATTAATGAACAAACGATATCAATTATATAGTTGGGTGTGGCACCTACCTTAAGGTTAGGAGATGTTGAAAAATGGGGCCCCAGTCTTGTCACAAGTTGCAATTCTTCACACACGATATGTCAATCTTGTATGCATACTCTGTTGTCAAACATGGTAGTGGTTCGTTCTTGCGCACCGCACGCACGCGGATATACGTCACGAAATTGGTACCATTACCCATAACCGAATCGTTTGAGATTACAAAATAAATTCATTTTGAATTTTTGAATTAAGTAAACGAAAAGAGAAAAGAAATAGTTATTCTTGCCCGAACAACGCTCTACATGAAAAATTTAATGTCCCAGCTCTTTCAATGAGAAGAAAGCACATCATTCTATCTTTTCTACATAATTTAATTCATGGACACATTGACTGCGTCTCTTTGCATAACCAATTGTTTTACATTGCTCCACATTTATCTTAGAACAAATATATTATACAATTCGCGTATATATATATATGTGTATATATATATATATATATATATATATATATATACATAGAATTCCATATTAAATATCACGGACATCTTTAATGATCCTTTCGGTTTGATAATAAGTGCTATTAACAATAACAACTAGAATATATATTTATCTTTTGTTTAATTTTAAGTTTAAATAAGAACCTGTTTTCATTTGTTTTCTATAGTTGTTCCTCCACGCATCTATTGTGCTATAAACTTTATAATTTTGTTCAATTATTTGGGTATTTACCTGTTTGAACAATAAATGCTATTATTATTATTATTATTCCAATGGTGAGCCACGAATTTGAACCACCCTGTACAGTGATTACTACCCTCGTATCTTCTCAATTTCATACGGGGAAAGAGAAGTAAAATACCTTGGGCTACATTTAGACAAGAGACGAAAATTCATCTTAAAAAGCTCCAAAATATATGTATACTGGCTTTTTGGACGAAACTTCCAATTAATAATAATAAAATAAACGCCTACTATATAAAACGATCATAAAATCAATGTGGAGTTACAGTATCCAGTTGTACCCCACAACTGCGCCAAAGCTGCAAACCTAAAAATCATACAGCGCATCCAATGAAAAACTTTAATAACCATCACAAACTTTCCATGGTAGATCAGAATATACCATTTGCCAAAAATGAAATGGCAAGATTATCCACGAAATGTAGTTTGAAGATACACGACCACGACAACGACTTGATAACTACCCTTTATCATCAACCAACAAACTGGCGGCAGAAAAGATAATGGCCAAAAGACCTTCCGACACAACCTGAAATAATATAAGTACCCAAAATTTTAAAAGCAAACATCACTGGATGAATACGTGTAGTGTGCACTAATTATAAAAGATTTACTTATTACTCATTTCAATATGAGTAGATTGTAGATAAGCACATAATACTCGTAAAAAAATGTTGTGACATAGTCTGCGGGAACAGTATATCAGTAGTATTTGCTTTACATAATAAATCACTGGACAATTTTTAAAACGAAACCTGGTTTTTCAGTAGCAATGAGCAAACTATAAAGCCGGTTATTTCATTGTCGGTTATTCGCACCAATGGACTAGGCGGGTAATTACGATTAATCAAGGATATTCGCCAGCATTCGTTACGGTTTGTGTGCGCAATCGAAATTCGAAACAAAGTGTACACAAAACCGCATTTATTCAGAGAATCTTATTAGTTCTTACTTTAGGGAGACATACAAATTAAAAATGCAACAGATCGTTCTCCAGTTGCACCAACATTCCGGTTGGCTAACCAGACAATTGCCGATTAATCGCGATTAACTATGTATCTGCGAATAACCGGGTATCCGCGCTTTTAATTAATTAACAAAGTTTGCAAAATATCCGCCCACATTCGGTTTTTGTTGTCAGGCGTATTGTTAGAGTGTTCTATGGGCATACTGAAAGTGGTACACAACAATATAATAAGAAGAAAAACTAAAAACACGGCTTGTCGAAAATACAATAGAGAAAATTAGAGTGGAGTGGAAAACTAAAGAAAATCATAAAACACTCGTTTTCCGAACGTAAATTTTTACGCTTACTTTTATATTAACGTTTCTAGAATTTGGATGTTTGAAATCTCTTCACGTTTCGAGCTCAAATTCATCGCGATAAATCTCGAAACCGAAATTTCGTACTTAAATATAGTCTACTTCTTAATTTGTTTCCTTGGGATTTTAAGGGAAAATAATTTTATATTGAAACAAGGTCGTTAAAATCGTTATGGCCTAACGAACGACAGTCAATAAATAGGGATAATTGCTGGGCGTAGCACCAATTAACGCATGTAATTACACCTGGTCCAATTTTCAGTTGATCCCACTGAATTAGAATCGGGTCGGAGCGAATTGTTCTAACACAGAATAAATATTCATTAGTCTAATTACGTAGGCCAGATTTACTATAAGAATTACCCTGAACTAAAGCGAATAGAGCTTTAGAGGGTATTCAAACCCACTTATACCGAGGGTTACTTCACAGAAAGTAATAAAATTGTCGACTACTTTCGGAAGGCATCGCTCCAAACCAGCAGAAGAACACGGCCCCCATGTTCGATTTGCTGCAGCATGAAAGTAGTAGCCGAAGCCCATACCTACCAGTTTCCAATCGTCCGTCGTTCATGGCGTTGAAACAATTGACAGTTTTCGAATTCGTGTTCGAAAAGACGTGCGCTGAATTCATTACATTCGATTTCGGGTGGTAATTAAGTTGCGAGGCGCCACCTTACGAAATGCATTTAGCGCGCGGTTATAAAACTTTTTTCTCTTTTATTAAATGTGTTTTTCGGCTGTATATTTTATGTGGACTTTGTAGCAAAACATGTTTTGCCGAATTAGATATTGACACTGGTAAGGAACTTTGCCACAAGCGAAACAAAAATTAATTTTCTTTGTGTGATTAATCAACGCTTTCAACAACTCTTTAATTACTTAGCGATCGTATTTACTTTACTATACTACTTTCAAATATATTACCTATAATATAGTGTCAAAGTGTCACTTTTAAGTTAACAAAGAAAAATTATCTTCTTTCACAATGACAAAACTGCAGATCGTGACGCTACTGCAATAATTTTCAAAAGCACTTTTCTCCTTTAATGACTTACATTTTATAAAATTAATTTAAATGTAAGCCCACGGTAGTCTTGCATTTTTTACCTTTGATAATAATTAATTACTGATGATTTTGGAAGAATGTTGGCGCTCCGTTTCGGGGCTGTCACCATTTGTATACATAATTATGTTTATGATCAACGAAATTAAAAACAGGAAACGTAATTTTTTCTGCTTAATGGCTTTCACGCATCTACCTGTCTTTTTATGTTGAAATTGTAGGGTAGCTTCTCCAACAGTGAATTCGATTTTTCAGGTCATATAACGACCAAAATATCCGTTTCATATTTACATTTTAAATCAGTTTCTTTTTGTAAGGGATGTGTTTACCAATAAAGTGAGTTTTTTTTAATTATCGCGAAATAATTAAGACTAAAGCTCGTTTTACATGGTCAAATTTTTACACGTAACTTTACAAGTATTTTTATATCTAGGATAAAAATGAAATTTTATTGATAAATGATGTTGAACGCACCTTTTAGATTTTACGTTCTAAAGAATTATGGTTTACATAATAAAAATCAAAACATATTCTCAATGTTTACATGTTGAAATTGACAGAACTTGTCCCCTTTTACATCGAAAACACGTAAAAATTTAATAAACAGGTTTAACAGAGATTCATTAATATGATTAAGAAGACATTTACTGTATGATTAGTGAATTTTTCTATTTAAAAGTAAATTATTAATCCATGTTTGATATTATTGTCAATATTTTGTCCCTCACCCCACTTTCATTTAACTACTGACAACTGTAAGTTAATAATATTTTTTATTGACTTACGCAATAGAAATAAAATAAACAATTAGAACAAATAACTTCACCACCTCAATATTTCTGCTCTTGCACTTCACCAGTGCGTATTTGCGAAATTGAGTAAGGATAACGATAGATCAAATAGATGGTTGGTAGTCGTGGTAATGCTATTAGAATGATTTTGAAATGTGAGATATATTTTTACAAAAAATCGGCACGGAATTATACAGGGTGTTAATTAATTCCATGCAGATATTTCGGGGGGTGATTGTACTTGTGAAAATAGGGAAAATATTGCAAATAAATGCATGGTCTAAACTCTAAAGGGAGTCGTTTTCGTCATACAGGGTGGCAAATTTCAATTTTTTTTCTCGTATTTTGTGTTTTCTCTCTTATGTTCTGTGATAATTGTTTTAAATTTGATACATCAATTATTTTTAGAATCTCTACAATAAAGTATCAAAATAGTTGATCGCAGTATACAGGGCGTTATATTTTCTTGAATCGGCTACAATTTTATCTTTTCAAAGTTTTTTTGGAGCACTCTGTATGAATTTCGAAATTAAATTTGAACTTTCTGTTCCTTTGTTTATCTTTCCCGTCTCTTGCACTATTCTCGTATCTGTAACCGTTTTCGATTTATTTGCAAAAATATTCATCGATGGAAATTATGTGTACGCGAAGCAAAGCAGGAGTAAAAGCTGTCTTTATGATATGTGATTTATTTTAGAGCAGCCGACAGGGTTACCAACAATTAATTAGTTAATCAATTACAAATAAACCAAAATTATAAAAACCATTGAAAATGTCCCTTACTAAAATGCACGAATCAAGAATTCGCCTCGTTGACTGGCGGACAAATATTCCAGGAGTATTGCGAATAATATCGCATGAAGCTAGGTTCTTAAATCCTCTTCTGTCGGGACTGGGGTCTGGTACATTATTTTCACGTGTCCCCAGAAAAAGAAATTCAGGTTGTGCAAGTGTGGGAATCTAGGGAACCATGGCTGAGGACCTCCTCCAACGTTTGTTCAAAATTTGATTGAGAAAGTTTCTGCATGAACCACATTGGTTCTGACAAGAATTGGTACCTCTTCTAGCAGCATTGGAACTTCATCTTAAAGAAATTGACCATAATATTTGTCCGTTTCGCAGTTACTGAAAACTTTTCCTGGAAAAAAATAAAATATTTGACAGGGATAGATTATAAACAATAATTGTTGTCACAATCGAGGGTGATTTAATGAATTATAGTACAGCAATCGAGTCTGACACTATCACACGAAGACAGTTAAATCATGGAGATAAATCTCCGCTCTCCTACCCTTTCGGGCTTAAGGCACCACCACCCCTCGCTAGGAAACCACAGTCGAGGGAACCCACATCCAACCGACCGCCAGCACCAAAATTAGCGTGGAAATCCCTCTTTTTTTAGAACAACTTCCAAAGACTGGTTGTTACTGCAAAATTTGTTAATCGAGATAAGTTATTTTGTTGAAAAAGTGAACTTTTGTAATGCAGTTTATGTGTATATATTGTTACTTATCCCGTCTAGGCTTGGATCCGTTATTTTCATTTGTAAGTATCATAGGCTCCTTATGTCTTTTCGCCAAAATAGTGTAAGACATGTATTCATTTTTGTGAGCTAAAAACAGTAAAATTATGGTGCAATAAAATGAAACATGAATAAATATTTTTACTACACGAATTAAAATCATGTTATAAAAACGGGACAAAACACACATACTAAAATCGAACATATATAATTATATCAGTTACGCGAATTAAAACTTATTGTAAAACGGGACAATCACACATATTAAAACGGTTGTAAAGGGACCGACATAGATTTGTCTATTTACAGTTTTGGGAGACACTTTATTTGGGGGGGGGGGGGGGCAATGCAGATTGTAAAATATACCTTACCTAATCGTCTTCGTCCTCCGTTGGCACTATGAGCTCCTTAAAGAACGTTTCTAGTATTATTATAACCTCCGGGTGTTTAATTTCACCTAGGTTTAAGGTAGTTCGCTCTATCTGGGAACGTTGTAACTTTGTTTGGGCTAACTATCTCGCATTGGTACGCTGTGGGTAGGGGCAATGGTAAAATGTGTGCTCGGGGGAAGATTCCTCTCCGCAGGCACATTGTACGATATGTCTTTTAAGCTTAAATTTATTGAAGTAGTGGCTGTATGGGCCGTGCCCTGTAATTGCCCATATTGTCTCCCTATTCCACCATGTGGTGGTTTCAGGTACCTGGGGCACAATCGCGTATGTAAAACGCCCCTTTGTGGTGTCGTCCCAAACTTTTTGCCATTGAGCCAACATGTCGTTTCGCGCTTTAGTATTAAGGTGTGATTTAGGTATTTGCACTGTAACCTCGGTATTGGTATTGCCGTTTCGCGCCGCCCTATCCGCGGCATTGCTTTCCTCTGACCCCGTGTCTTTGCTTTCCCATGTTATGCACACTTTAGTGCCAGAGTCCCATAGATTTGTGAGGCTTTTGTGCGCTATGTTTATCTGGCCCGTACCGGCTTTGAATACATTAACGGAATTTACAGCGCTCTGAGAGTCGCTGACTATTACGCTGTCTCGAGGGATTCCTAGGATGTATTCAAGTGCTAGGTTGATAGCCGCTACTTCGGCCTGGTAGGTAGTGGAGTAGTCGGGAAGCTTGGCGACCCTAATTTCGGGGGTGTGCGTACCTGAGTACACAACCATGGCCGCCCTGGTGGCTTCTACTGTTTTGGACCCGTCAACGTAAATATGCTGTGCGCTGTTTATATTATTGTCTACCCACTGACACCTGTGAGCAGGGTGAACTTTGTCTTTCGGGATGGGGGCTCTCTCAACGTTAGCCTTCGACATCGCGGTGTATACGTCGAAGATTCGTTTGGCCTCGAGGAAAAGAGGCGGAATGTTAGCGAGCACCTCCAAGCTCCTAGTGGGGGTGGTGTTGTATGCCCCTAATATCCTTAATAGGAATGGCCTTTGTATGTTCTTGGAGATCCGTTTGACTCGCGAGTCGAGGCTTCTACTGCCCCATATCTCCACTCCATATAAGATTGCAGGTCGGAGGGCATGGAGGTACATGGTTTTAATATTATTTTGAGACGCTCCCCAATTTTCACCAGCTATGTAAAACAGTCGGCTAGACACCTTAGCCGCTGTGTCCTTGATCATCTTGACGTGGTCGATAAAGTAGAACTTGGGATCTAACAAGATCCCTAAGTGTTTAATATTTTGTGTTGGTTTTATCTTGCCGCCTGATACTGAAAGCTCAGGGGGACGTATGGCACTACCCGCCGGGCAGAACATGTACTCGGTTTTTAGCGTGTTGTATTCGCAATGATTCAGCTTTGCCCAACTCTCACACTCTCCCCAGGTCTTAAGCCAGCCAGCCTCTATACGCTTTGGCGAAGCGCCCACCAACACCAGGACTTGGTCGTCAGCAAATGCCACGGCCTCGACCGATGCCGGCGCACACTCCAGCCCACGCATGGCACGGAGCCATGACTCCATCATTACCACCCACAAGATCGGCCCAAGGCAGGATCCTTGCGGGCAGCCACGGGACAAGGTGACAGCTCCTGAATCCGTCACAATTGTGCGATTCAGCAGGAAGCTAACCGTCGTGGTGTAGATGTTTCGTGGGGTCCCTATCTCCCAATCTATTAATTATTGCCGCATGCCAAGCCATATGAAAGGCGTTCTTTAGGTCCAAGGTGACTACCGCAGAGTGAAGTCCCTTGTCCTTATTCGTCCTGACTATGTTCATCAGGGTCTGTATAGCCGTTATGGTGGATCGACCTTCATGGAAACCGTACTGGTTGTCAGAAAGATGGCCCCCTTTCTCCATAAAATAAGTAAGGCGAGTGGCACACCACTTATCTAGGACTTTACCTAGTACCGGCAACAAACTTATTGGTCTCATAGATTTTCCCCCTGGTTTAGGGAGCCACACCATCTTCGCAACC